ATATAATTTGGAATGTTTTTTAAAAAATTTTTTCCAGTATATGGATAAATCAACTTATAGTATACACAATACAGAAGAACTGATTAATGGATTGCTAAAAGGTAATTATAAAAAGTCTTTTCGTATTATGAGTCTTGATATAAAGTCTATGTATCCGTCGATCACCCTAGAAATGATAATAGAAAGTCTTAAAACGTATAACGTTCCTGAATATATCATAGAACTTGTAAAATTTGTATTTAATAATAATTACTTTAAAATTTCTACAGAATATTATAGGCAGAAGAAAGGTATTGCCATGGGATCGGTCATAGGACCAAAACTGACTGATAATTATATGAATAAAATAGATGAAAAAATTTCAAGTATAACAGGTATTAAATATTATGCAAGATACGTAGATGATATAATAATAGTTTATGATTCTCAAATAGTTTCATCCAAACATATTGAGGAATGTGCAAACAGATTGCATAAAAACTTAAAGTTTACAAGTGAAGATGAACAACAAAATGAAATGAATTTCTTAGACGTCACCATAAAAAGAGAAGAAACAAGTGTATCATTTAGTAAGTATGAAAAACTATGTAATAATGGTAAAACTATTAACTTTAAATCTTACTGCCCTTTAGAAAATAAAAAGAACGTTTTTAACATGGAATTGAGAAAGATATTAAATAGAACAACTCAGCAAGAAAATATAGACATCGAAGTAAAACAATTGTTTAAGAAATTTCAGTTAAATGATTATCCGAAGTATATTCTCTGTAAGTGGTACAATTTATATTTAAAAAGTAGATTTAATGTTAAAAACAGCATAGAAGGTATTTCTTATGTAAAGTTTCCTTATGTTACTAATCTTTTTGAAAAATATAAACCGATATTTAAAGAATTTTCTATATGCATAGTTGCGAATCAAAAAAACAAGATGTCAAATATTATCAACATAATAAATAGTGAAAATTCGCCCAGAGACCAATTTAAGATCGCCGGTGTCGTATATAGAATGTCATGTACATGTGGAAGCCCAAATTATTACATTGGAGAAACCGGAAGAAGATTGGAATTGAGAGTAAAGGAACATGAGGCGGCCATTAGACTGAGAAGAACGGAATCAGCATGGTTTTTACATTGTAGAGAATTTAATTGTAATATAAATATAAAAAATACTAAAATATTGTATAAAATAGAAAATAATTTAGAAAGGAAAATTGTAGAACATTTTTGTATCGCCGAACATGTAAATTTGATTAATTTGAATACTGGAATGATTGTTGATGCATGCTGGGAACGGCTGTTGGGTATAAAACGTAACCAACCAATAACATCTTGATGTATCCACTGAGGAGGCCTAGATGGCGAAATGCATATGGATAAATTTAATAAAGTGATGATTGTTTTTTGCCATTTGTTTGTCTTGTTTTGGCTCATAGAATCCTCAAAGTCGGAAATAGAAAGAGTATAATTTTACTTGTTTTTTAACTAAAAATTTTTTATTTTTAGTATATTAATATTACCACCGATCCCATTGGTTTTAATAATTAAGTTTACATAATGTTACATATTCCTATATGATGTAATATGCATCGACTGCTTCAGACAAAATTACTCCCTTCATTATCTTGTGTATGCAAAAACTGACAGGAAAATTTGGTGCTTTGGTTCAAAAGAACATTGACAAATTGATGAATGACTTCAAAGATGTCATTGTGACTTGCTTAAAATTGGGAAAATTGAAAAAAGAATTATGTAGAGTTTTTAAAAAACTCTCCATAATTCTTTTTTCAATTGTGTGTGTGTGTGTGTGTGTGTGTGTCAACAAAAACAAATTTCTCCTCATTACTGACTCATTAAGAGGTCAGATACAATATTTTTAAAAATGAAAAGGAAAGTGTCTCATGCTATTAGTCATTTCACCCAAATGCACACCTATTTGCCAATCTTGCAATGTGTATTTCTATCAGTAGGGAAAAAATTTTTTATTAAACAATTGCAAAACACTCCTACTCTGTTAAAACAACATCAGAAAATAGCTACTTGAAAGGATGCAATTAAAATTCACTTACTTCTTTTGCACCAATTGGAACACTAATTTTCTTTCTAATGATACAACATGCCTGGTATGTTTCAAAATTGACTAATGACAGATCAGTATTTTAAATGTTAATGAAATCTGCTTCCCTCTGACAATACAGAAAAAACCATGCTCTTATAAAGATGTTGCTTTTATTAAAGACAGGTGGTGTCAATTGATGCTTTATTTTAAATGTTTTTTTGATATTTACCATCCAAATGTGTGTGAAGATTTTCATTCAGAACAAGATTTGTAACTATAAAATGATATTTTGCCTAATATATATAATAAATTCACAAGACTGCATATTACAAGAAAAGAGTGCTTTAAACAAATTCAGAAGAGAGGCTTGAAGCAGCAACATCCCACACGTCAACAAGCCAACTTATTTGACTATGCTTGTCCATAATTAATTTTTATAAACTCAGTATATAACCAAAACAGAAAACTTTAAATGTTGGTTTATATCTAAATCCTTGTGCATTTGCAAGAGTTACTTCACTATATATTACTTAGAGAAGTGTACTGTAACATATTAAAGAAAAAAATGAAACAATTCAAGAACAACACAAGTTGATGATCCCTTTGTAAGTAACAACAGTTGCAGTGATTCAGCAATATTTTATAATAATATTTTTTTCTTTTTTTTCTTCTATCGAACGTCATACATGGCAACACTTGAGATACCAGCGCATAAGAAAAAATAAAAAGGGGGTGGAAGGTAAAAAGGGGGAGGAAACAGCTAAAAATTTTTTACAGTTGTGTTGTATCGAAATATGCCTATAAGAGAAGATTTTAGAATATTTTAACCTTTTAATTTATAATATANTTACATTTTATACGAATGTGAAAGTTTTACAACTTAAAATTTTGCATTTTAAAATTCTTAGATTAAAAGGTTGTTCTAATAACTTTTTTCAGTGTGTAATGTCACATGTTCTAATATTTGAAGTTCCACAGATATTTAGATATTTGAATATCAGTTATGCTCAATTAAGATTGAAAATGTAACTGAAAATAAGTCTAAAAATATTCAATACCAAAAATAAAAATGGCTTCTCTCACAATAGCATTTGAGGTGTTATACTAAATAAGTCATTTAATACCATCAGATATAGCAAGTATCAAAACATAAATCAAACAAGCAATTATTTATTATAACATCATCACAGGATGCAATTTTTAATTATATTCTTAATTTATTTAATTTAGAATGTATGTTCTCCAACTCAAATTAGTAGTGCCTTGCTCCTATACATCATACTTTTCCTGATAACATCAGAGTCATGCTAGTCATCTATGTAACTCCATTCAGAGAAAAATTTTTGAATTGAAATCACATGACTTCCAGTCTAGATCAAAGTTGTACATAGTTAATCGGGGCCTTCTGCACCTAAGCTTTCAATATCTGGTCTTGGCTTTCATCTATCTAACTCTATTCTCAAGATTAAGGAAGAACAGACAGATGGACTGATGACAGTGGGAATTTATAAATCTACAATTTTTTCAAATTGTCAAATACCATGACAGTAAACATACATGCCCCATGCACAGTGGTCATAAATGATAAGAAAAGCAGATTCATTTGCAATTTATATGAAAACTTTTTACTAAAAGAGTACTCCACTTGAGCTATGCTTTACAATAAAACTGGTACTTACACTGTAACAGGCATCTTGATATACTATATGCCTGGAATCATCATTCTACTCAAAAGGTGGAGGCAATAAATTTATATGCAGCCTGTACTCAAGTACAATCACCACTTTGTGGGTTACCTTTGCATCATGTATATTGGCAATTCATCTAGATATTGATGTGATATAAGCATGACAAATGTCTTGTGGAATGTTGGCCACATTTCTTGAAATACTATCTCCAGTCATTCTTTTTTTGGGGCTTCTGTTTTTGCATCTCTTTCTTCAGGACACATCACAGCTCTTCAACTGTGTTCAGATTATGCAAATCTAATTTTAACAAAGCCAAAAGTGTGGTTTGCTGAGATCTTGTTGGAAAATTGCATCTTTGTGTATACATAGATGGACACAGGAGGAGGAAGTGCTGGTATAAAATTATCTGATAACACTGTGCACTGATAATTCCATCATATGGAATCAAATCACCAATGCCAGAATATTCAAAACATCCTCATATTAAACCATGACTGGAAACTTAATTTCTTGCTTCATACAGTTTTGGACAAATTCTTCATTGTCTGGTGATTCTCCACCAAATATTTCCTTACAGAACTGGGAAAGATGACTCAACAAACCAGCCCAGAGGTATCTGCTGACTAAAAAATGGGAGCTCAAGCTATAAAAAAAGGACTTTGTACATTATGCAAGAAGCTTCAAACTCTATGATTCAACATTGGATCAGCACTTCCACAAGTGGCACTATTTGCATTTGGGGTTAACTTGGCCTTGAAAACAATGAATGTGATTTTGGTCAACAAATGACAAATATAGTTCATTAGTTTCTTTTATATTTGCAGAATAGGATAGAAGTCATGAATTTTCTGTTGTTTTCTGATGACAGAATTTGGGACCCCTTCAGAATTATGAAAAGGGCAACTCAGATGAAAAATGGGATATGTGCCCAAGTGCCCCAATATACAGGTGACCCTGGGGCAGCCTATAAATTATTGTAAAAATGCACAGAATAATTGAAGTTGATGGCACTGCCTCTAACAGAGCAAAAGAAGTAAACATTATTGTTTTTTAAAAAATATTTTTTTAGAATGAATTAATAAAAAGTAAGAGTAAAGGCTAAAATCCTAAATCATATGCTTTGTAGAAATACATAAATTGTAAAGATCTGTACAATAGATTATTAGGTCCAAGGAGTGTTATTGACATTACTGTATTTATATATAAACATAAAATAGATCATAAATAAATAAAACTCGCAAAGATAAAAAAACTACCTTCATTCAAATATGTCATAGTTTCTTCATCTATTTTTGTAGCAAGAGATGTAGCAGCACCCAATACGTATTGAAATCCACTTGTTTTTATAAGAGAAGGTGAACAATCTCTAATACATAGAGTAGGTGGTGAAGGTGATAATTGCAATATTTGAGATAACATAGATGTATTTACTGTAGTATTATTTAAAGTATTCTGTGTAGCAGCTACTCTTAAGTCTGGGACAGATGAACTATGTCTGCATCGATTGGCTGTATCAGTTGTATGAGTTGTTGTTGTAGTTGTGACGGCTGCTTCACAGGATACTGATAATTGAGGTAATAGACATTTTCCACTATAGTAACTGTTAAAAATTTTAAAAAATTAATTATTATATTATCATAATAAATTCTTTGTTATGTTAAATTAATCTATGAATGTATTTAATCTTAGGCAGAAATAAATTTAACATCACTACTAAAACAGGATAAATCAGTAAATATATATTACATACCCAAACTCCAGCATACAGCGAACAGTTTGTAAAGAAAATAAAATGTTTTCAGTGGACTTAAGCCACAATCATCAGATTATGACTGCCTTTCAAATGCAGAACAATATTTATGATGGAATTTTTTTTTTGAAACTTTGGAATGTCTTACACATTGGAAACTTTTAAAAATTAAAGATTCCAATGTGCAAGGCATTCCATCGTAAATATTGTTATGCATTTGAAAGGCAGCCATAACCTGACAATGGTGGCTTAAGTCCACTGAAAATGTTCGCTTTTCTTTACAAACTGTTCACTGTGCACTGGAGTTTCGATACATAACATGTTTATTAGGGAGAAATATTTAATTTTATTATTATTTATCCAATATTATCCAACTGTCCTTAAGATTTTAACAATATTTTGATCTAAAATAAACTTTTCAACAATGTTTAGTAGCTACTTATTTGAAAATTTAAGAAACAGAAACAAAGTCTATATCTAGAATTCATGAATGCAGACATCTTTTTATTCATAAAATGAAAATTTTCACAAATGAGTATAAAATTCAGTACAGAAATTATTCAAGTAAAAGAATAGAGTAATTACAAAATTAAAATAACTGCCTATTGAGAATTCAGTGCATGATGCTGACTACAGAAAAAAGTTAACTGTATAAACTTTCATAATCATTCTTAAACAATCCTCTTGCATTTTAAAAAGCTATTATTAATTAACTTGAACAGAGCTTATGAGTTATGTATTAATATAAATGACTTCATGAATAACTTACAGAATGGTGATTAGAAAAACTAGTGCAAAAATTTTTAAACAAACACAATGTGATTAATTATTTTAAGTAAACAGTATAAATATAAAAAATAAAATATAATTACATATAAACCAAGCCCAACAAATAATAATAAACAAATAACACTACCAGATTTTATCTGGGCTATAATTAATTATAAAGCTATTATATAATATCCTTATAATTAATCATATTATAGCATGATTAAAATCCACATTTATAAACAAATGCATTGTTTGTTTATTAAAACAGAATATTAGATTAAATATAAAAATACAATATATATAAAAGAGTAAGTATTCATATGAAAAATAATAATGCAAGATTATTTTATTGTAATTAAAGTCCCATCTATTATTATTTTTCAAATGAATAATTACTACTATAATAATAGCAATTATTATACATTGCATAATTAACATGTTACATTTAACTTTATTAATACATTAAAATAATATGCAAATATTGAGCACAGCATATTCATTCTTTAGTTAATAAGATTATTGTTATGTTTAAATGCAAAAAGTAATTTTTGTTAACACTATTAAATGGCAAGTTGAATATTTTATTCAAAAATTTATCTTCTATAATATTGTGTGAAATTCTTGTTTAATTATTTTTACATGACAAAATTTTTACAAGTAAACAATACAGATGGATTAATATGGGCTACAATAATTTGTTCAATTCATTTGATTATTAATGTACGGTCATGGCCAAAAGTCTGGAAAAACTCTAATATGAATAACTTTCAATAATTTTGTTGTCAATCTACATAAATGTTAATTGTTAAACAAAACTAAATTTTAAAAAATCCTAAAATAATATCTGTGGGTGATTAGGTGTATGTTTTATACATTACAATAATAATAATAACTTACAAATAATTCTATGGCAAGCATACAAACAACACAGAAACATACACATGGCATATATAGACTACAGAAAAGCATTCGACAGTGTTCCACACAGTTAGCTGCTACATATTCTACACATGTACAAAATACATCCATCACTCATTAGATTCTTCCAAAACACTATGCAGCACTGGAGAACAACACTACATCTCAGGGTTAGTAACACTTCAATACAAACAAACCAAATACTCATCAGGCGAGGAATTTTTCAAGGAGATTCCTTGAGTCCTCTCTGGTTCTGCCTAGCCCTGAACCCATTATCCAACATGTTAAACAACACGCAATATGGTTACAATATCAGACATGAAAAAACAACACAGATTAGACTTTCACATCTCATGTACATGGACAACATAAAACTTTATGCATCCACACAAAAATAGATTCATCAACTCTTACAAATCATATATTCATACACTAAGGACATACAAATGGAGTTTGGCTTAGACAAATGCAAAACACTTCACATAGAAAAAGGAATCCTGAAGAAAGATTTTACACTTGGAAATGAAAACGTTTTTGAATCCATGGAAGAGGGTCAGCTCTACAAGTATTTAGGATTCCAACAGGCCAAACTAACAGAACACACACAAATAAAGCAAAGATTAATTAAAGAATACCAAAGTAGGTTAAATGCCATTCTCAAAACACAGCTAAATGCAAAACACACAGTTAAAGCACTAAACACATATGTCATCCCAGTACTCACATACTCTTTTGGAGTTATACATTGGACTCACACAGATCTCAAGCAACTCCAAAGGAAAACAACAACAACCCTTACTAAGCATAAACAACATCATCCTAAATCCACCATAGAAAGATTAACCCTTTCATGTAAAGATGGCAAACATGGCCTGATTGACATACTTAACCTTCACTACAAACAAATACACAAACTGTGAGAGTTTTTCTACAAAAAACAAGTAACATCAGAGTTACATAAAGCAGCAACTCTAGCAGACTCAATTAACACACCATTAACTTACACTCACATCATACAGACATGACACAACATATAAAAAGCATAGACACCATTAAGCAATCATGGGCTCAAAAGGCACTCCATGGCAGGCATCCTTATGACCTGGCCCAGGATTTTGTTGACAAAACTGTGTCAAACAGCTGGTTAGATTGAAAATGCCTCTTTGGGGAGACAGAAGGATTCATGATTGCCATACAGGATCAGGTCATAAATACTAAAACCTACAGAAAACACATACTCAAAGATACAACACTCACAAATGACACATGCAGAAAATGTCACATCATGCCAGAAACTATACAACACATCACTTCTGGGTGCAAGCTCCTGGCACAGACAGATTATTTACATAGACATAATCATGTAGCAAATATAATATACCAAGAGCTTGCAAACAAACACAAATTATTAGACATCCACAAACCATACTACAAATACATTCCACAAACAGTATTGGAAAACAACACACAAAATGTACTACAACAGAGCCATAATCACAGATAAAACAATTTACCACAACAGACCAGACATTACACTCATTGACAAACACAATAAAATCACATACATTATAGATATATCCATTCTAAACACTCACAATATACAAAACACATTCACTGAAAAAATTAGCAAGTACACAGAACTCGCCCAGGAAATAAGGCATCTATGGAGGATTGAAAGGGTGCTTATTGTGCCTGTTGTTCTCTCCTGTACAGGTGTGATACCACACACACTACACAAAAGCTTGGGAAAATTACAATTGAATGTATATCACACTACACGTATATCACACTACAGACGGTCACTATATTGAATGTATGTCATATTGTTAGGAAATTTCTGAATACAGAGACACACACTGACACACTTATTTAATTTTAGTTTTATTTTGGTTGCTATGCCTTGACTCTGGTCTGGCATAGTACACAGCCACTGGTGTGAACCGAGTATAACTCACTAAACCCAACATAATACTTCATTCCATGTTTCCAAATTTTTAGCCATGACTGTATATTGGATTTGATTTTATAAGCAAAATTTTTACACAGATCACATGCATTCATAGCATTTAAAAATTAGATCAGATGCAGTTGTTTAGTTTTTATATTTTTAATGTTTTGTTTTGTTAAAATAAAAAGAAAATATTTGAATACAGTGATACCCCGAACTTACGCAGTAGGTGGGACCAAGCGATAACCGTGTAAGTCGGGGTATAATTTCGCAATTTGTCTAAAATCCAAGTCGGATGTATGTAAGCTAATAAATGTTCTCGTTAATCTTATCTCGTCTTTTAATTCATTCACGGTTACAAGAAATCACCACATAGAGTCTCTCGAGTCTCCGTAGATATAACAAACACAGAAATAAATAACACAAAATAAATTGTGTTATTTATTTCTGTGGAATCGACACATAGCTACAAAATAAATTGTAGCTATGTGTCGATTCCGTGCGACACATCCGAACATGTAAGCCGAAGAATAGTGTGGGGGGAGTGAGTAATCAAGAGCTGCATGGCGCTCAAACAAAAGACGAATCGACGAGATTTGAAAATCGCATAACTCCGGGTTCATGTAAGTCAGGGTAGCGTAAGTCAAGGTATTACTATATTTTAAAATTATGTTTTAGATTTGTTTTATTTTATTTATCTTTTATTCTAAAAATTTAATCAGCATTCTACAAAATTAAAAAAAAAATCAATATAAATTTATATACTTTAAAATATTCTTAATATTCCAAACAAACAGCTGGATTATTTATCAGACTTTAACAAGACTAATTTAACAGTTACAGATAAAGTAATTTGGAGAGAGATAGTTGATTAGCATTAGTCTAATAACAAATTTCATAACTAAAAATAAATTTTAATTTTTAAATTAAATTTAGAATAATCTGGAAGAAAAAATTGGCCTGAAGCAGAACTCAAATCTGCAACTTCTACTTGCCATGTAGATGCTTAGTTAAGAGTTAGTTATATAATTAATATGTTTAGAAGTGAGGATTGTATGGGTGTACACGTAGCATAACTGGCAACACATCTGCATGGTAAATAGGAGTTATAGGTTCAAGTCTCATTCTATGCTGATCTTTCCTTCCAGATTACACTAAATTTAGTTTAAAAGTTAAAATTTACTTCTAATTGTTAAATTCGCTTTGTTATAATCTGACAGTTTATTTGGCATATCTAATAGAATTGGGTTAATGTGTATGTTGTTATATTTTTGATATTAGAGAGGTTGCGGTCAACGTTTTCAGCCCAAAACGTGAACATCAGACTTCAAGCACTGCCATCTGGCAATTCTAGAAAGTTGATAATGGCGTTCACTACATCTAGCATGGCGAGTAGAAGTTCGGCTTAAACTTCTTCATTATNCTGACGACAGAAGAACGCCTAGAACTTTTGAATGAAGAACACCAAGAAACTCGGCAAGATATGTTTTCTTCTGAAAAAAGAGGATTAATATCGATATCTGTTATTAAAGATCCTTTGTAGAAGTGGGAGGATGTCAGAACAACGGTCTTAGAATGGCATCCAAACCATGTTGAGGCTTGGGGACCTCTACAATTACAATGCTATTACGTAATTACTTACGAAAAATCGTGAAGAGAGAAAAGCAATTGACATTAGACAGATTCTTTAACCCTTTCAAACAGAAAAAAAACATTATTAATTAAAACGCAACACTGTGTATGTATGTAGCTTTATTATTACATATAAATAAACGTAGTAAGAAGGTATATATTTTTTATTTTTTAAGGTCTCCAGAACGAATTAATTAAATTCCCATTAAAACCTACGGTAAATAAATAATCGGTTAATGAACAATTCGGATAGCGAACAAAATCTTGGAACGGATTATGTTCGTTAACCGATCACCCACTGTATTCATTAGGCGAGGAATTTTTCAAGGAGATTCCTTAAGTCCTCTCTGGTTCTGCCTAGCCCTGAACCCATTATCCAACATGTTAAACAACACGTATTATGGCTAGAATATCAGACATGAAAAAACAACACAGTTTACACTATCACATGTCATGTACATGGACGACATAAAACTTTATGCATCCACACAGAAACAACTTCATCAACTCCTACAAATCACACACTCATACACTAAGGACATACTAAATGGAGTTTGGCTTAGACAAATGCAAAAAACTTCACATAGGAAAAGGAATCCTGAAGAAAGACGATTTTAAAATTGAAAATGGAGACGTTATTGAATCCATGGAAGAAGGTGAGCTCTACAAGTATTTAAAATTCTAACAGGCCAAACTAACAGAACATACACAAATAAAGCAAAGATTAATTTAAGAATACCAAAGTGGGTTAAATGCCATTCTCAAAACACGGCTAAATGCAAAACACACAGTTAAAGCACTAAACACATATGTCATCCCAGTACTCACATACTCTTTTGAAGTTATACATTGTACTCACACAGATCTTGAGCAACTCCAAAGGAAAACAACAACAACCCTTACTAAGCATAAACAACATCATCCTAAATCTGCTATAGAAAGATTAACCCTTCCATGTAAAGATGGCGGACATGGCCTGATTGGCATAGTTAACCTTCACTACAAACACAGTCACTGCGAAAGTTTTTCTACAGGAAACAGGAAACATTACAGTTACATAAAGCAGTAACGCTAGCAGACTTAAATAGCACACCATTAAACTTACACTCACATCATCCAGACTTGACACAACACATAAAAAGCATAGACACTATTAAGCAATCATGGGCTCAAAAGGCACTCCATGGCAGGCATCCTTATGACCTGGCCCAGGATTTTGTTGACAAAACTGTGTCAAACAGCTGGTTAGATTGAAAATGCCTCTTTGGGGAGACAGAAGGATTCATGATTGCCATACAGGATCAGGTCATAAATACTAAAACCTACAGAAAACACATACTCAAAGATACAACACTCACAAATGACACATGCAGAAAATATCACATCATGCCAGAAACTATACAACATATGTCTGTGCCAAGAGCTTGCATCTGGGTGCAAGCTCTTGGCACAGACAGATTACTTACATAGACACAATCAAGTAGCAAATATAATACACCAAGAGCTTGCAAAGAAACAAATTATTAGACATTCTGCTGATGTCTTAACTGCTTTGCTATCCAGCAGTNTATTGAATACATGCCACATTGTTAGGAAATTCCTGAATACAGACACACACACTGACACACTTCTCTAATTTTAGTTTTGTTTTGGTTGCTATGCCTTGACTTTGGTCCGGCATAGTACACAGCCACCAGTGTGAACCGAGTGTAACTCACAAAACCCAACATAATAATAATAATAAGCACAGAGCCCAAACGGTTAAGAGTTGAAAGTTGAAATTTGGTACTCAGTTAGAATACGTCATGAGAACATACACTAAGAAGGGATTTTTGGAAATTCCACCCCCCTGAGGAAAGAGGAGAAGAGAGTTAATTTTAGTCAGTATAAAGTGTAAATAGTAAAGAAGGAAAGTAAATAGTGGGACATATAGAATACGTTTTGGCAATTAATAAATATTTTAATCATTTCCACTTTTCAAGTAACCTAAAAACAATAAATCTAAAATAAACGAATTCAAACAAATATTTGAAATTATATATCTGATATTATTTGAACAAATAGTTGAATTTGAAATATAATGCTCCAAACAAGTTCTTTTAGATTTTAGAATTTAAAATTAATAATTTTATTCAAGTATGGTTATCATCAAGTTAGTTCATTCGACATTTTAATGAAACATTTTCTGATTTTTTTTTTATTTTGCAAGTTATTTCATTTTTTATTTTTTAGGTTACTTAAATAAAAAAATTTCCTTTTTAAATACTAAAGATTTATTCAGTTAAAATTCAATAATGATTTTAATCATTTTTTTTCTATTAGATAGCTAATAAATAGAATAGTGAAAACAAAATTTCTCATAAATTTGACCTTAGTCTTATAATATAATCAAGTTGAATTGTTAATGATGATGATGATATTAGGTGCAGAGCTCAAACGGTTAGGAATTGAAAACTGTAATTTGGTACACAGGGTATGTCATGAGTATGTACGCAAAGAAGGGATTTTCTGAAATCCTCCTGCAGGGGAGAGGGAGAGAGTTAAAGATTACCCTGAACACAGAAAATAATCAGGCTGAAAATGTTAGTTTTTCAATTATTTTTCTCAGCAGCAAATTAGTGTGTGTTATTCTCTGTGTTTACTATTACTTGCTGAGCACTTTTAATGTTATCGTTATGATTACCTTGAATTTTACTGTACTTTTTTAGATGCATTTTTGCGGGAAATCAAATATATTTTTAGACCCATCTAAAAAGTCTCTAATTAGTCTTGGAAGAGGGGAGACCTAATTCTTGCACCCGGTGAAAATGGGTAAAATCGGCTATAATCTAATAATCTTTGCTATCGTTACTTTTTTGCCCAAGCATTCATCTACTAGTTTGGAAATATTTCAAGAACAAAATGTTTAATTTCAAAAAAAATTAAAATTTGTTTCTGGAATTATTTTCATTATAACTGAATATACAGTACATCAATATATTATCATAAACAATTGTTAATGACATGTAAGTAGTAATCTTAAAATTCTGTTAAATTTTAAAGTTTTAAATTTATTGTATGTTCCATTAATATTCCAAAATATTTGTTCTAATTTTATTTTTTTTCTATCTTTTGCCTGATGATAGTAAATTCATTTATTAAAAGTGCTTGTTTTTTCTTGTTGTAATGTGCTTTTATTTATTAAAATAACACCAAATATAATAAATAAAGCAGAAAAAACTGAGTCTTAAAATTATTACTAATAGTGAACTATTAATAATTTAACTATAAAATGCTATTATTCTTATACTCAAATTAATTTAAAAAGATATACTTTACTTAAAATTTATTTCTCAAGGTTTAAAACAATTTGAAAAATTTTCAATAGTAAAATTTATTACAATAAAAAATAAAATATAAAAGAATGAAAACAATGATTTTAT